TGAGTTCAAAGCCAGCCTGGTCTACATAGTGAGTTCTAGGACAGCTGGGGCTACAAGGAGACCCTGTCTCAAAAAAGACAAAAAATAAATAAAATAAAATAAAATAAAATAAAAGGCTCATCAGAGGAACCTGGGTATGAGATTCTGGGAACTTCCCCCTTACTCCTTTTTCTTTTACATTTATCTTTAAGTAAAACCATGTACTGAGACGGCAGAACTGAATTTTATGACATGAAGACAGCTACGTAAGAACCATGCAGAAGGCGATCAGGCTTTATGGAGGGCGGAACAAGGACCTGACTAGCCATTGTTCACATATTGGTAGCTTTCTGTTCTCTTGTGTTTCCTGCATTCCTTTAAATATTACATTTGCTGTGGAAATTAACAGATTAAGTTATTCATTCATTTAATAATTATTGATGTTTATTGTGTGCTCAGCAGTGGGTATGTGGTGATGGATCTCAGATCTAGTTGAAAGAAAAAACAATAGAGATGCAAATATAGCAAGTGATAATTATGCATATGAAATGCTAGTAAGAAAATAATATACTTTTATGGGTATCCTACATAGACAGAATGAGAAGTAAATGGAAGACGAGATTTAAACAGAAAGCCTTCAATCCAGAGAAGCAGAAGAAAACAGAAACAAAGGGTGCGTATGAGCAAAATACCTTCTGTTCTGTTAAAATCAGACTCTAGGTGACTGTAACCATGGACAAGAGCTGGAGAACAGAGAAGCCACGGGTCACACAGCCGCAGATGACTTCATGTGCCACATGCAATGTACAGTAATAAAGAAGGTGTCACAGCACCGAGGTGAAAGGACTAGTTCTGATCTAGGAAGACGGCCCTGACCATCCTATCAGTGGGTGGAGGAAGAAAGCAACGAGAAGACGGCAGAAGGTCATGAGACCCACATAGGTGACAGAAGATGAGCTCTGCAGGTAACAACTCTCTGTGGTTGGACTGTATGTGGGGTTGATGAGGGGCTGGGTAAAAAATCAATCTTTTTTTTTCTATTTCAGCAACTGTTTAAAATGGAGTGTCATTTACTGATGGAGAAGATTTGTAGAGAAATAGGTTTCTGTGGGAAAAAAAAAAACAAGAGTTTAGTTTTGGATACATTAAGTTTCAGATGTTTGAGAAGCATCCACATGGATTTGTCAAGTAGGTAATTTGGATAAATGAGGTGGGAGCACTGAGGGGGAGATCCAGGCTGAAGATAGAGATTTGGGGTTATTAGCATATAGATGGTTTTTAAAGCCATGGGAATGTGGCACAAAGACACAATATAAAGGACCTGGAGCCAAGCCATGAGGGACTTGAACACTGGTCAGCTTCAAGCCAGAAAAGGTAGTAATGTAGAAAATCATAGAAACGGGGAAGACTAGGTTCTTGGAAGCCAAGGAAGGGCGTCATTTCAGCAGACGATCAGCAGGGCCACCCTTGGCTACAAGGCCAGGAAAGGCAGGAGAGGGATCCCCGCCGGGCCTAGCAACGCTCGGGAATGCTGGTGATGCTGACCAGAATCCTAAAGACCCAGAGACTGGACAGAAGCAAGTAGGGTCAAGGTGGGATTCTTAACAGGAGGATGACAGGAGGAATCTTGGGAAGAGATGGCTGGCTGAAGGAAGCATTTTCAGTATGGCAACCAGAAGGGGATGTGAAGTAGGAGAGGTCTTGAGAGTGAGGAAAATGGGGAAGAAAGAGTGAATGAGTGCTCCGTGTCATCTTGCTAAGTCTCAGAGCCAGCTAAGTCACTAGTCACGTGACAAGAAAGAGGCAGGGAAGAGCCTGTGTGGTGTGAAGCCAGAGAGTAGAGGACAGCTGCACAGTGACGCCTGGCCCGCAGAGAGCCACAGAATGCACTTGGGAAACTCAGGACAAAGCCCTCTGCTGACGTAACTTTACCTTAGCCTTACAGTCTACCCACATACAATTTACCACTTAGAGAGAGAGATGGAGCGAGAAAGACGGTGGGGGGGGGAAGCAGGAAGATAAAGAAAAGAAAAGAAACCACAGAAGAGTCACCTGGTCACTTGGTTACACTTGGGAATTATAATAAAGTGAAAATGTGATCCTTGAGGTTCACAGACTGGGCTCTGAGGCCCCCTCTCTCTAGGCCATTCACCCCCAATCTGCCAAGTAAAGAGGCAACAGTGATAACCGTGGCCATGCTGGAAAGAAAAGTAAATACGGAGTCACCCTCAAGTGCCCCCCAAGCCCATTCCAGGGTACTCACGTGACACAGTTTAAGTAGAGGGTAGGAGGCATGACTAAAGTCCCAGCCCCCCCCCACTTCCTTCACTGATCTGGCATTGTCTCAGCTCCAGTGTATCCTGCAAGGGTCATCTGAAAGTTGTCAGATCTGTGTGAAGCCTCTTTCAGGAAGGTGAGTCCACCTCTGCCTGGCACCAAGCTTGAGCCTTTCCCTTCCCCCAGCATCAGAGTCCTGGGAAAATTTTAATTTTCTGGGGTCCAATATTTCAGTAGTTTGGAAATGCAAGTCTCTCATTGATATCTTCTCTCTTTCCAGGTTGGCACATGTTTCCAAGTGGAGAAAAAGCACCTGGAAGAACAGCAATAAAAATGGCAAAGCATGGACTCTGTGGTGGGCCAAGGTAGAAGGAAAGAGAAGTGGGCCTGCTGAGGGAGCGCTCCGAGGAGAAGGAACCTCAGGGAGTTTCCCTGGAGAGTGGTGGAGCACCACAAGAGCTGCTCCTAGGGGATGTACTGCTAGGTTTGTGATTTGGGAGATGCAGTAAAACCTAGCTTGGCTCTCAGGAGACTAACAGAAAAGGTCACTGGAAAGGGGCAGCTCAGGGCCTGAAGACTGAGGCTGGTGAGGGCTGTGAGCTGAGTTTTTGGGAGAGTTAACAGAGGTTGGGCAAAGAACAACGTGGTGGGGCTCATACCACCTTCACAGCAGGGTCTGCAGAAAGGGAGGGTAAGAGGTCTGTCTGTCGTACAGGACAGCAAGATAGGAGAAAGTTAGCACATGGTGTGAGACGCTGCGGAGCTTCTTGAAACAGGTGAGAGCCAAGTGTTTGTGAGAGATGAGGAGAAAGCCCAGAATGGTCATGCTGTGTTGCCCTCAGGCATATGCATCTGAAAGGGGAGACCTCCAGAGAAGGAGACTTGGCAGTGAAGTCACATGGCAGCAGAGACAGTCCAAAGAGAGACTGGCATTTAACAACAGAGTTTGCGGAGCATGGAACAGAATTCTACAAGATGACTTACCAGGAATGACAGAGCATAATTATCTGGTATACCTACATATGTATAACCAGCTCAGTAGCTGTTTACCCTCATGAGGCTGTCTTTCCAGAGAGGGAAGCAGGAAAGCTCCTGGGCTGGTAGGTAGCCCTCATGTGCTGTACATTTACAAACACATGGAAATGATTTGCAAGTCAATAATGACCATAAAGTGTTACATGAAGGATTTAAAGTGATCTCTATAGTGATAAGAACAAATGTTTTAAGTCCATCTTGATGGTATTATATATTAAATAAAATGTACTCCTTTCTAACTTGATCACTAAAATATTCTTTAAACCAAGACCATTAGAATGCCAAATTTAAAAGGTAAAGAAATGTCAGGTTTCTGAACAATTTATCTGTGAAATTAATGAAAATCAAAAATTGGCAAAAAAATGTTTATACTGATTAGCTGGGTAAAGAAAAGTTGTCCAACATTATCCAATCATAATAATTTTGCTGACTTAGAAACAGGCATCAACTACATTTAATAAAACCAATGTTACCAAATACTTTTGCTTTTCATAATACATTCAAGGTAAGTCATTTTCTTATAAATCATGACAGTGTCAGAAAAGTATTTTAAAATGTAAGAAAACAAAAACTTCACAGTTTGCTCTATAAACAGTATCCCATTGAAATTTCATGATTAAAGGTTTTGAAATATGAATTCAAAACTAGCAGCTTAAGAGATGGCTCAGCAATTAAGGGTGCGTACTGCTTTTGCAGAGGATCCAAGTTTGGCTCCCAGCACCCATGTCAGGCAGCTCATAACTCCAGCTCCAAGAGAGCCAATACTTCTGGCCTCTGAGGGCACTGCACTCACAAGCATAAAGTATATACATATACATACATAGAAATAGATATAGATGATATCATTTAAATAATAATAAAAATAAACCTTAATTTTAAAAATGAGTAAAAACATGAAGTATACTTTAGAGGAGGTCAAAAGGATTACTAGTCCAAAAAGAACTCTGGGTTTCTAAGCCCAATGCTTCTCAGACACTCAGTGGCACTTCAGAGCATGGTTACAGTTTGTAACAGGAGAAAGTTGAAACTGGGATGGGGGTGTCACAGAATGCTCTAGAGCTGCAGCAAATAGGCCAACACTGATGTAAATACCATCAGTGAAAGCATGTGAGGTTAGCTTTCCCTACAAGATGTCAAGCCAACCCAAGATATTTGCTCTAAGTAGCATGTAAAAGATGCCACAGAACACAGAGGGGGTTGAGGAGCTTTTTAAAGAAGTCTGAAGCACTGGGGGCTCATTTTGTTGTGTGTAAAGAATCAGGCAGGTCCTGGAAAGAGGCAGGAGGCTGGCTGTAAGAACCACAAGACTGTATGTAGGTCTGCGTTGTGTTGGGCCACTAATCTTGTGGTAATACATTATGCAGAAATAGGTAAGCAACCTGGAAAGCAATGACCTGAGCATCGCTTGTGAAGACATTTGTTTACCATGAGCTCTCTGCGAAATGTCCCGGAGACTCAGGCTGGCCATAGTTTTGGTCAGAGGTGACTGGAGGCAGGCAGAATTCAAGCCCTGACCGTTCATATGTTCTGGATGTGCACACCTGTGTGCACGCTACTTTGGCAGTAGGCTTCTTTCTGGCCTCTAGTAAACCCTATTGCAAGCAAAGCTACAAAAAGCAAAGTGTGGGTAGCTGGCCTTGGTGGCGTTCATCTACAGTCTCAGTGCACAGAACGCTGAGGCAGGAGGTTCAAGAATGTCAGGCTAGCCTGGGCTATATAGCAAGACCATGCCTAAAAAACACCTGGGATTATTATCACATGCAGACTGAACGTAGCGCACTGCAGCAAGACCACCTTCACAGAGCAAAGGACAACAGAAAACAGACAGTTGGCCCATTTGGTGAAGCGCGGCAGATGAGAGGGGGCTGGATTGGATCCAGAAGATGGCTCTTCCATCTGCACAGGAGTCCACAGGAAGTCACCGTCCACCCCACCTTGGGTATAAATGAGTGTTTTTCTGCTCCTACTTACAAAACCTCTTATATTACTGGCACAGAGGTCAGAACAACAAAAAATGACTCCTCTTTTTGTCCAGTGTGAAAACTCCTATAAGGGAACAGTTTAGGAGAATGCAGAAAGCCTTTAAAATTAAAAGGAAGAGCTGTTCCTGTCAGACCTAAGTCATGATCTGGCTGGGTGCTCTGTTGCGATGATAAGATGAATATGCCGAAGTCAGGGGCTCTGGCTTTTTCTGCAGCAGCCCCGGGTGAGCCAAGGAGCCAAGCTTAGCTGGATCCCACCAACCCTACTGGCCTCAACACACTCACTGGCCCTTCAAGTGTTGACTCGACTGTCAGCGGAGAAGATGGAGCCGCTGTACAACACCCACCTAGCATCACTACTTGATCTCCAGGAAGAGAGCACTGCGCAAGGCCTTACCGCATTTTCTCTAGTTACTAAGGTTCAGTTCAACAGGTGATGCAAAGCAGGGCTGCGAACCTGTGATCACTGCACAGCTAGCTGCTTTCTGAGAAAACTAAGTTCTGACTTTCTGGCATATTCACCACAATGAAAACCTATGTTTATATAAATATCCTCATCTTAAAACAGATGCTTGAGATTACTATTCCTGATCACAGCTTAATCTGGTCATTTGATAGCCAGATATCACTCTTGTTTATAATGAACATTACACCAGCATTCACTAACGAGTTTGTTATGGGGCATCTGAGAGAAAACACCACTTATAACATAGCCTTCATCATTTCAAATCCGGATTTATCCATTTTATTTTATGTATTTTCACTGATTTTTAAGAAAATGCTTAAGTTTTCCCATTTTTCATATACAAATGATAACCTTGGTAAAAATGTATAATTATAAACTTCTATTTTAAAAAGGCAATTGAGAAGCCCCATGTGACATTTTGAAATGCCCCAATTTTTGAAACTCATTATCAAAGGAATGAAAAAACTATTTTATTCATAAATACAAATGACATAGACTGTGATAGGCCATTGAACTGATTTGTGAGACAATATTTTTGTTTGATCAAAACCTTCCAAAGCACAAGGAGCCACACCGCCGTCTTTGGTGCCTGCCGCCCGGCATGCCACACAGCGGCCTCTCTGCGGCCTCACCTCCAACGGGGCTTCGTAGGAGGCTGAGATGCCTTCCCTGTCAAAGCTGTGGCCTCTCTGGGGGAAGCTTGAACTCAGCCCAGCTGAAAATGCTCAGGCATTGTTCTTACGGCCAGCCTCACTGGGAGGAGCAAACCCCCTTTCCTGGAAAGTTTTCCAGTCTTCGGAGCTGTGTGTCTTCCTTCTCCCCACACATTAGCAATTATTTTTGAAATCTCTCTTCCTGCACCTCAGCCTTTGATTCTTTACCCTCGTTCTTCACTGAGAAGAAACATGACCCTGCGAGATATTTGTTAATAGATACTTTGTTAACAGAGGCAGAAATTACAGAGGAGACTAATTCTTTCCCTTAAGTAAGAAAGGAAAGTTCTGGTGTAAAAACAATGTCTCTAATGATCTAAGTTTGCCAACTGTTTAGACTCAGGTCGCGACCGTGACTAAATTCCTCTACCTCAGCTTTCTTCCACATAAGATGACTTGTCTGATGGATGGCAAATTCAATTAACATTTCAGGCCACCATTATTAAACTTTTATTTCTATGTATATGTATTTCATTTCCAATTAATGTGATGACAGAAAGGGACAGACATAACTTGTCAACTATATTAACAGGAACTTTTCCACCTCCTACATTCATTAAGGAAGGGGTTATAATTAGGTTTCAAAGAAAACATTTCATTAAGATAAGTGATTTCATTAAGCTATGATTATTGTGACAGTACAGTAAAAACTTAAAAGTTTTTGTCTATTTAGCTACGTGACTAGAAATAATACATGTGCCTTCTTAATCCTTTTTATACATGGCATTCTCTGCATATACATTACTGACGATGTATACCAGCTGCTCACATTTATTCGTTCAGCTTCATAACTGTGCACTGACTTTCTAGAAAGAAACATCACTACAATGGATGAGATGCCTTCAAACCCAGAGACCAATACGAAACAAATAATAAGAAACACTAAAATCTGTGCAGTTACAGAGATGTCTACTGAGTGTTAGGAAACCACGGTGGAATCATGAAGGTGACAGACCTCAAAGCTGTGAGGAAACACTTCAGAAGAGGATGATGCCCGAATTGAGCCTTAACTGCTGAGCATCACCAGGTGGGGCTGAAGGAGAGGATATGCAGCCTAGCCAAGCACTTGACCATAGTGGACGGATGGGAAACCCGGACTGTGGGCAGCTGAAACCAGCAGGGAGCAAGGACACCGGTCCCAGGCTCACGGGGCAGCTGAGGCAAAGCTAGGGTCGGAGGCCTGCTTCTGTGGGAAACACCTGTTGTTAATTAGGCTGGAGCTCAGCAGTGCCGTGGTCACGCTGCTCATGTCACAGGTAAATTAAAATATCTTGAGTATATACTTAAGGGAAAGACTGAATAAAGGCAGGAAACCAATGGCTAACTAATTTAAAAAGATAATCTAGTGGAAAAATGGCTCAGAAACTTCATAAGGATAAAAGTAGGACAAAAAAGTAGAACAATTGCCATGACAAAACTTTGGTGGGTAGAACTTGCAGTTATTTGAATGCAAAGATTGAGTCTATGATGTTAAGGACGTTCTAGAATGGAGGAAGCAGGTATTAGCTGCCCCACGGATTTGGGGACAACGATAGTGACTTAGCTGGATCTGATGTATCTGTGGATCACTTTACTTATTGAGAGGTAGTCTAAAACCAAAAGCAAATAGTTGTAGGTATCATCCTGACTACTGATTGCCCTCCTAGCCCTCCTATCTGTTGCCAATCAACAATCCTCCTCATTTCCTTAGTACTTCCGGAATTCAGCCATTCTATCTCTTCAGCCTTAGCCAAAGGCCTTACTGTGGAGTCGAGGTTGTGCCTTGCTTCAAGCTGCTCCAGAACACGGTGCTTTTAGGCAGTGCCTGCTCTAAGTGACTCCAATGTAAAAAACAGCATTTGACTCCATTTTGAAACCAAATGCAGAAGTAGAAAGGATTCTGCATCTGTTTGTGCAAGTAAATAACCACCATCTACCCAGCACCAACTAAGGAATGTAAACTGATAAACAGCTTACACAAACACTGCCAGGTATGAATTCACAAAATTTAGTTGGGAACAGGTGCAACATGTTTATCTCAAAACTAGACTAGAAAAAAAGAGACCTGTGAACTTATGGAACACCAGTTGTCCCCAAACTGCCTTTTTCCTCCACGGGGTGGGGGCCTGCTGCTGAGACTTGACTGGGGAGGGGTTTCTGGAATGTGTGGCGG